ATTTGTCAGATATTCGATCTTGCGTCTGTACATACCATTACAAGGGCTATTAAATTTCCAACATTTCAAATTTAATATTTCATTCACGACAATCTTTTATCTATTTTTAAAACCTTCACAATGAGTTCTACCCCATCATTGAAGTTTATTAAAAAAGCTTTTACGAAGCTTTTTCATTGTTCTCAGTTACACGAGAAAAGTAAATTTAATGAAAATATTTTTCAAGATCTTAACTTTTCTGAATAAATTCTGTTTTCAACACGCAAAAATCGGAGTAGCTTTAGGAGAGATGTAGAAAGTTTAGAATTAAAAAATTTTTAACGTAAAAAAAATAAATTTCAATTTAACTTCTAAAACTTTTTTGTTCCGAAATCAAAGTGACCGTAAGGTTGCAAAGGAGTTAAGTATCAAATTTCCTTATCTTTTTTTCTTTATTTAAAGATTGTGATCGATGTTCCCAATTCCGATAAATTGTCATGAACTTTTTCCACTTGACATCAGTGAAAGAAAGGAATTAGCCAAATGATTTATTTTTTTCCGACTTGAGAAATATTTCGGTTAGAAAGTTTTCCTCATTTCAATATTTTTTTGTCAGCAAGTCTTCTTGAAATTGATAACGTCACATCTTTCGTCAGCTGATACAATTTACCTGTAACCGTAGATAGTTATCAGGATAAGAATTTCTTTTTCAAATGACATTACAGCATACATCAAAATATACTGGCACTCTGTAAAGAGATTTCGGTTATTAATTATATTGACATATAATAATTTGAATTACAAAGCTCAAAAATAAATACCTAAAGGATTTTACTCGAAAAATTTCTAAATTACGCATAGTAGGAAATTATTACTAGAAGGTAGTTTATGGATAGATTAGTATAGATTCGTCGGATCGGGAGAATGGAAAGATGGTCAAAACCCATCGAATAAAATCACTTTTCTTACCTTTTATCGAAAATTGCCTAAAAGAAAATCAGGCACGACTGATTTTCCTAGAAATCTTCCCAAATAAGGTTTTTTTTAATTTTGTACCACAGTGCAGGGAAAAGAGAAAGTTAAAGTTTTCTTTATTACTTTTTGATAATCAATACTGAATTTGAACCTCATTATAAAATTGGTTGGAACTGGATATTAAATAAGTATAAAGATGATATATGGTCTTATTTGGCAAACAAGAAGACTTTATTTACCAATATTTTTTATTCAAAATTCCGTTATAATATTCAGTTACTGATGCAACATGTATGTGAAGCGCCAAATTGTGCATTTTGAGTAACTTGAATTATTTATATAAAAGCTACGGAAATACAAATATTGCTTCTTTTTGGTCTTTGGAATTAGCATACTTGTTGAGTCAACCAAAGTCGTTAATAACTTAACTTAACACTATATAATATAACTTTATAATTTTTTTTAATAAAATTATTTATTTATTTTGTTAATTTTGAAAAATTTAACTATTGAGATCACATTCACAATTACTAAGATATTAAAAGACTTGACATTATACTTTACGTTACAAAAAGCGTCACATACAAAAACCGCACTATCCCTAATCCGGCAGAAAGGAAGATCCTTCCAAATAAAATGGTTTTTTTTTTACTTGCATATTAGGAATATATGACACATCATGCAGTAAAAATCTACCATCTGCAGAATACCAAATTGATAATCAAAACTTTCTTAATAGCCGCACCACAAAGAATGTGTTTCACAAGAATTTAAAGTTCTTTGTGTAAAGCTGCAATGTTGTGACATTCCTTATCATGAATCTCGAGATTTAAGGTTTTTTCCACAATTGGTTCAGGAGGATCTGCTTTTGTTTATGCTGCATATTGGAAAAGTACTAAAACAAAATTTGCAATTAAAAAATTTGCCGAAAGAAATTATTTTGAACGAGGTCTGAATTACTATAGTTTTGTTAAAAAAGATATATATATATTATGTTATGTCGATTAATTATATTCTTTATAGATTCATTCATCCAAATATAATTAAATTTCGTGGAATTACGAATTTAGAAGGTAAAATAATAATTATTGTTTAGTAATTTTATTCAAGTATATTTGTTCACACTTTTTTTTTTATTATTATTATTTAGATGAAATAAATTATGCGCTTATTCTTGAATATGCGGATGGCGGAACATTAGGAGAATATTTAAGGAACAACACTATATCTTTTAAATGGGAACGTCAATTGGAATTTGCCAACGACATCGCGAGTGCGATTTTATGGTTACATGACAATGGAATTATACGTCGTGATCTTGTAAGTTAGTTAATTATTCCTTTATAATTTTATTTTTAATCATTAATTTCATTTTCTATTTTAGCGTTCCAATAACATTTTAATCCATCAACGTGCAATAAAATTAGCAGACTTTGGATGTTCGTGTTTTCGAGGAACGGATACTAAACCGGCACGTGGCGTAATACCTTATATGGATTCTAAATTATTGAAAATCCTTTATATGATTTAACCAAAAAATATTTATAGCTTAGGAGTATTGGAACCAGATGAAAGACCAGATATTGATAAAATAATTTCGGAACTTAAAAGTATTGATCCTAAAGCAAATGATGAAAGCGAAAAAATAGGTGGATTAGAATATGAAGACGACGTTTCACGTTATGACGTTAAATTATATTATTAGATACAGATTCCTTTTTTTTCTTTACTTAATTTTAAGAAAATATTCGAAAAATTAGAAATTTTATGATTTAGAATGATTTTAAGAAACAGATTTATTTTAAATTTTATCGTTACAGTTTTAATTAAATTAGCCTTTAAAAACAAATGTACTTTTTATTATATGATGTTATAAAATTGGATTTGCATTAAAATTCTGTAAAAATTTTTATTCTTAAATTTATAGCTGCGCGACCATATGCATTTTTGTATATTTCGCATTTTGAATTTATTATTTTTTTTTTCGAATGCATAAAATAGCTTTGCATTTAAAATTTAATAAGTTTGGTTGTTAATCTAATTTCAGTTGTTAAAATAAACTCCATTTTCGTGTAACCATGAAACTTTCGATGAGCCTTTTTTTTTTTTATTTAAAACTAATGTGTAACTAAGTTTAATATTTGGGTTAGATTTTTTATGATTTTCGTTACTTATATATTCTTTATCTTAATTTTGAGAGTTGGATCAAAGATTGATTTTAACAGATTTATTTTAAATTTTATCGTTACCATGTTTTTAAAATTAATTTTTACAACAAATTGGCAGCTTGCTATTAAAATCACGTTATGGATCTATGATTTATTATGTCTCGTCCAAATGAATATTTTAAAAATTATATTGTTGGCGCCTTATTAATCTAGGATTGTTATATTTTCATATTTAATAAAAGAGTCACGTAATTAAAATTAATTCAAAAGTTGTTATTTTCGTACGTTAAATTAACACATTTTCGTGTAAACATGAACTTTCGACGAGTTTTTTTTTTAATTTAATATAATTAAAAATTCTAATTATTAATTTTTTTTAACTCAAAATGATAGTTGACTGAATTTAACAATTTACTTACTTAATAATTTTAATTAATCTGTTAAATTAACTCAAGCCCGGCTAATTAACTGATTTAACATAATAACTCATTTTTTTATATTCGGGAGTGTTGTTAATTTTAGGTATGTAATTTGACTTGAAAATTCTTTCTCACAAGATGCGAAATATGAATCGTATTTTTTTATTTTTATTTTTAAAAATCTACAGAGCATATGTAATATGGAACCTTTGCATAGAAAGTGGGGAACCTGCTGGAAAAAAGTTAAATTTTTTTTATATGCAAATATGATTTTCGGGCCGAAAAAGTGTCATCCTGGCAGTTTCCCCTTACTATTGAAAAATCCCATATATTCTTTAATTCAAAAGCTATCACTCTATTAAAATAAATCATCACCATAATTTTTGCAATTTTAAGATTTTATTTAATCATTAATAAATTACACACTCAATAGAAATAATGCATATAAAAATATATTTTGATACAGCTTTAAATTAAAGTAAAAAATGGTACAATTTGTATGAGAGTATGTGCGGAGTTTTAGTTTTCCATTCAGAAATAATCTTATATGTATTATATTTCTATATTGGTTTATTGTATTTATTTGCATTTATTTTTTGGTGTGCAAAAAAAAGCGGATTCAAAAATCTTTTTTGAACGAAGAAATATTACGTGATTTTAAATAATATTGATAGATGAGATGATAGTAAGTTCAAAATAATTAGAGCGATCACAAACCAAAATTAAAGTCATAAAAAATATCTCATTTGAGACTATTAGTTATTATTGAAAAAATGTTAGGATTAATTTTAAATTATTTAATTTTTTTTTGTAAGTTTTTAATAATTAAACATAAATACATAATTATATTATTTGATAAAGAGGAAATTCAATATAATGTTTATGAAAATAATAAAACTTTGATTTTCATAAATTTTGCATAAAACTAGTGATTTGACCCGGGGACGGGTCCAAACATTTACATAAAACCATTTGGAATATCCAACCTTATAACGAAGTTCGTGTATTTGTCAAAAAAATAAATTCTGAACGAAGTGTTTATGGTTACACAACTTTCTATTTAATATTCTTTTTTATTGAGATAGATTTCGATAAATCATGTGAGTGCTTACGCGCATGCGAAAACGCCCATGCATATTGAGTAACTTGAATTTATATGAAAACCAATTTAGTCAATCTACGTCGTCGTTAATAATTTAACTTAATAATATTTATTGCCAGATGATATTTTCAATGAGAATAAATAAACTTTGAAAATTAACAATATAATTTATTAAATATTGAGATCACATTCGCAATTACCGTTGTTAATTTACAATATATTAAAGGCTTGCATATATTTCTCTGCGCTGCGAAAGCGTCACTTAAAAAGTAAAGATAAAAAATAGTCTAACCAAATTCGCCAGTGAGAAGTCTTTATCAATATTTTAAACAGTTTACTTAGAAAAAATGTTATTATTCATTTTCTTATTTCTTTCTGATAATTCGGATCACTAGAAGTTACCTTTATCTGTGTATAAAGATAATTATCTAGATTATCGTTAGAAGCATCTTGATTATCTAAAACATCATAAGACAGAACAACATTTACTCTCTCTTCAGATCCTATTACTGAATTCACGCTGTGAAGACACCTATTACCAATCATAACTACTAATCTTCCTTCGATAGGTTTAATTGAAACTTTCTTTCCAAAAACAAACCGAATTGGTTTAGACATTAGAAGTAAATCTAGTGCTTTTTGAAGAAAAGAAAATTTATTGAAAGGTGACGTAATTCTATAAAGTGGATACAATTCAAGTTCGCCGCCATCAACTTCATTCAAATAGATTAACGCTGTAACTGAGTTTCGATCATAATGCCATCGATATGTGCCACCACTCGGAGTAATGTTAACATTTGCCCCAATTATCTCATTATTTAAAGGAACTAAAGAAAGATTACTAATGTCACAAATAAACTTGTTAATGCGGTCTCTATACAAATTTTCTATTTCTTGAAGACTATTCTTTATTTGTAAGCCATTAATAACCTTATAATGAAGAGGACGATCAGAATTTTCTCGGTAAATGATAGGTAATTCTTCACTATTTTGAAAATTTTTGATATGATTTAATAATTGAGAACATTGCTCTTTGCTGAGAAAATCGTCTCTCACTAAATAGCCATTCTTTAAAAATTCTGTTTTTTTCATTTTTGGGATGAATGTAATTATATATTGTATTTATTAGGTATCTCGACTTTTCTAAAATGTTCTTGGAAACTGGAAAATCCTGTCGAATGTTGATTAATTCTCCTGAGTTAACTAACACTAACTCAAAAGGTTTAGAGAAAAGGAAGAACTTTCCAAAATAAAATGGTTTTTTTTTTTAATGGATACATGCTTCGGTTTCAACTTATTTATGTGATGTAGTGAAAATCTACCATCTGCAGATTACCAATTGATAATCAAAACTTTATTAATAGTTGCGCCACAAAGATAATATCATAATTTCGAGATTTTATGGTTCTTTCTGAGATTGGTTCAGGATAGAGGCCTGCAACGGGCCAGGTCCGATGCGGGAACTCGGCCCGGACTCGGGTTACAGGCCGGTCGTGCCGGCAAATAATAAGTTTAGAGATCTCCAGGCGTACCAGCCTGGATTTTTTTTATAATTTTGGTAAAAAGGCATTATGTATTTAAATTTAGCCGCCACTGATTGTAGACACTAATTATAGTAATTTTGTATAACATAGTGCTCTTTCATTAATCTTTTTGTTTATTTATTATAATAAAATTTGTTACCAAAAATGAGATTTTATTCATTATTAACAAAACAAGCAATTGGGCCGTCAAAAATTTCTAATTTATTTGTGTAACATCAGTAAAAAAATTAGATTTTCGAGATGATGATCGACAAAAAAATTAAAAAGGTTTTGAATCCTTCTAAATTTAAAATTTTAAATATTTAACGTTAATATAAAATCCTAGTAAAATTTTTATTGAAAATTAATTTTTCTTTCTAAACTTTAAAGTTGCTAAAAATAGAATTTTTCATTAATATCATTTAATTCTCATAGCCTTTAAGTGTTTTTTTAAAATAAAAAATTTAATTAAATTTAAATTATAGTAAAATATATATTAAATATTAACAATCAATAAAAATAACTTACTATCTAAATTATTAAACATTTTTTTTAAAATAATTTTGTTTAATTAAAATTATAATAAAAAGTATAATTAAATACTGATAATCAATAAAAATAATTTACCTTCTTTAGTAATATTTTGTATTTTAAATAAATATTTAATTAATTTTAAATTATAGTAATAATATAATTAAATACTGATAATTAATAAAAATAACCTATATAAATTATTAAATATTTTTTTAAAAATAAAAATTTAATTGAATTTAAATTATAATAATAAGTATAATTAAATACTATTAATATTAAAAATAATTTACCCCTTTAGTAATAGTTTGTTTCAAAATAATTTTAGTTAAGTTTAAATTAAAGTAAATATAATTAAATCCTAATAATCAATAAAAATAACTTACAATCTAATTATTAAATTTTTTTTAAAATAAAAAATAGTTGAATTTAAATTATAGTAACAAGTTAATGATGAGGGACGAAACCCCTTAATAACAGTCGAAACTTAGACGAAACTATATTAAAATCATAATAAGGAATACGACGAAACCCATTCGATACGACGAAAGCTGAAACTGTCGAAACTATATTAAAAACATAGAAAAGGGTATGACGAAATTATTTTGAGGAGGTTTCGGCAGGCATCTATATAACAAGTATAATTTAATACTGATAATCAATAAAAATAACTTACTCCCTTTAATAATATTTATTTTAAAATAAAAAAAATTAAGTTAAATATAAATTATAAAATATATAATAATAATCAATAAAAATAATTTATCAGCTAAATTATTAAATTTTTTTTTAAAAATAAAAATTGAGTTGAGTTTAAATTACAGTAATTAGTATAATTAAATACTGTTAATCAATAATATAATTTACTCCCTTTAATAATATTTTATTTTTAAAAATAAAAAATTTAATAAAATTTAAATTATAATAAAATGTATAATTTAATACTAATAATTAATAAGAATAACTTACAATTTAATTATTAAATATTTTTATAAATTAAAAATTTAGTTAAATTTAAAAGAATAATTAATACTAATTATTAATAAAATTATTTACTTTCTTTAATATTATTTTGTTTTTAAAATAAAAAAATTAAATTAAGTATAAATTATGATAAAAATATAATTAAATATAATAATCAATAAAATAACTTACCAGCTAAATTATTAAATATTTTTTTAAAAATAAAATTTAGTTGTGTTTAATTTATAATAATAAGTATAATTATTATTAAATATTGATATCAATAAAAATAACTTATTAACTAAATATTAAATATTTATTTAAGATAAAAAATTTAGTTGTATTAAATTATAATAAAAGAATAATTAATACTAATAATTAATAAAAATTATTTAATATTTTTAATATTATTTTATTTTTAAAATAAAAGTATTAAATTAAGTGTAAATTATAATAAAAAGTACAATTAAATATGATAATCAATAAAATAACTTATTAGCTAAATTATTAATATTTTTTTTTTTAAAAATAAAATTTTTTTGATATTAAATTAAAATAATAAGTATAATTAAATACTAATAATTAATAAAAATAACTTACAATCTTAATAATTAAATATTTTTTTTTAAAATAAATTTTTAGTTAACAAGAAAAAGTATAATTAAATACTGATAATCAATAAAAATACTTACAATCTAAATTATTAAATCAAGAAGTTTAGTTGAGTTTAAATTATAATAAAAAGTATAATTAAATATTGTTAATTGATATAATTATTTATACACTTTATGATATTTTTAAATAAATAATTTTGTTGAATTTAAATTATAGTAAAAGTAAAAATAACTTATTCTCTTTAGTAATATTTTGATTTTTAAATAAAAAATTTAGTTAAGTTTAAATTACAGTAAAAGAATAATTAAATAATATAAATAACTTATTATCTAAATTATTAAATATATTTTTATTTATATAAAAATTTAGTTGACAGTTATAATTGATTAAATTAATATATCTTACTTACTGTAATATTGTCAAAATATTAATATTATTATAAAATTAGTAGATTATAATTATAATAAAATATATAATAAATTGCATTGTATTAATAAACATAGCTTATAATCTATAATATTTTAAAGGTTTAATTGAGTTTAAATAATATATGAAGTATAGATTATTAATAAAAATAACTTACTGACTAAAATTGAAATTTATTTAAAATAAATTAGATTAAGGTTAAATTACAATATAAGAATAAAAAAATAACTTATTCCTTACAGTATTATTGATTATAGATATTTTTAAATAAAATATAAAAAGTTTAATTATAGAAAAATTAAATGACTTATATTCTTAATATCACCAACTATTGAATATTTTTTTTTTAAAAAAAAATTAATTATTAAATAATTATTTAATTTGATTTAGTAAATATATAAATGTTTATTACTATTTAATTCATTAAGTGTGGGCTCTATTATTAAATAATTTATAAATATTATATAACTAAATTTAAAAAGATATAAATTTTCTTACGTTCTTTTTCTTCTATTTAATTTATGAAAATGTTTATTAATAAAAATAAAGTATGGCTAACAAATAATAGTATTATATAAATGAGTAATAAAATATTAACTTCATATTTTATCTAATGAGATAGCTTTCTCTGTATTTGAAATGCAAATAATTTAAAAAAAATATTTTTTAGATCCAAATATGTTTAAGGTATACTAAATAAATATAATGCTTACCAATCTCAGATACTTTTTTATTCTTTTTTTTTGATTAAATAAATTTATTTTTAATCTTTTTTTTACTCTTTTGCCCTCATTGTTTTTGTCAAATATTATTACAAATTTACAAATTTAAAAGTAAAGCAAAATATTTTGTCATTTCTTTTTAAGATAATTATTTATATGTTAATTTTTTTTTATTGTGATCGATTATTATTGATCCTATAAATGTGCTTATTTTAGTTCAAAAATAAATAGGAAAATTAATTATTTACTGTATATCAATGAAATTTACTTTTTTATTATTAACTATTAAAAATTCAATAATTTATTATAAAACCTAATAGCTTATTCAATTTTGTTATAAAATAAAACATTTCTAAGGATTTAAATGTATTTATACAAATTCAATTAGCAATAAATTAAAATAAAATAAATTTGAATTAAAGGTTTTAAATATTTGAAGATTTAGATAAGAAGTCAAAAGATAGTATATTTAATCTACAAATTACCCGATAAAGTACTAGTGATAAATTTAAAAGAAAATTTTGCTTTAAATTTTCAACAATTATAATACCTAATTTGATTATAAATGGTTAATTTTACTTTTTATTAATTCAAAGATTATGCAATAGAAGAGTGAGATATACATACCTTTTATCTTTTTTTTAAAAAAAATAAACATAAAAATCTAAATCACCAGAAATAAAATTTTTTATTATTTTAATTCATTAGACTGACAAATGATCAATTTAATAAAGCATTTTAGTTTTTAGATTCAAAGTTATTTTTATAATAAAATCATCAAATTTTAAGTATCTTTATAAAAAAAAGAAAAAGTTATTTCAAAAGTATATATATATGGTATTTATCTGATCCTTTGTCAATAAGTCATTCAATTACCAATTTTATATATATTTATTATAATTTGAGTAATTATATAAACAATATTCTAAAAGTAAATTATAATTTAATTTTGTAATTTAGATAATTGAATTTTGCAAAAATTAATTTTTTTGTATTTACTGTGCATACTTTTCATTTAATAACAGAAGAAATGTTAAAATTTTATACACTTAAATGATAAATTTTCTAATGTTTCACTTTATTCACATGACTTAATCATGTTTTTTCAATTAAAATTATTGGGAATTCTTAATCTATACTGAAGGTATAGATGTTTAACCTGCGCTGAAAATATACAATAAGTTTAACGAATTTTATTGAATGAAAATTGATTTGTATAATATTATATAATTTATATTATCTTTATAAATAAAATTAATATTGTATTTACACAACTGCTGTGATGAGAATATAAAATATTCGCAAACTTAAA